GTTATCAGCAATTAGAGTGACTCTCTCAGGAGGTTTTATTGTCAGCTAATTGTTTCTGTGTACTTGCTCTGTTTCTTTGCAGAATTGTTCTGTACTTCATCATTTGGGCCAAGATACTTTCCAGCCTAGCAGAAAGAATCTGATTGACCTCATGTGGTCAAACCTGACTACCTAAATTACAGGTTGCTGGTCAGCCAGCAAAATGGATCCTTGGGACAGGTGGTTAATCAGTTTTGGCTGGGAAAGCTCAGAGGCTGTATAGAGGGTTTCATGTAAGCAATTGTGATAATGACTGTGCTGAAGCTGTGTAGAATGTGGTATCATTATTTATCAATGTGATCTCAATTAAGATGTTTTATCAGAGGACTTCAAATTTGAGACTTAGAGAAAAGTGAAACTATCATTCAGAAGGGAGGTAGAGAATGAATCATAGCCAAATGGAATAGCACATACAAAGACACACATGTTCAGGATGTGTTTTTACAACCACAGTATTTGAATACCTGTAGTTTTGGATCGGATGTCTTAGATGATAAAGCAGGAACAGAGGGAGTCTTTAAGGAATGTTAATCTGTGAAATGAAATGCAGTCCAGAGTTTAGAAGGATCACTATGGCAGCTTTGTGCAAGACCATTAATAATGGGTTCAGGTTGAACACAATGTGATAGGTTGGAAGTCGTGGTAGTAGTAATCTAGGTGAAAAATGCTGAAGGACTAAAGGCATTGATAATGAGAATGATGAAAAAATTAATGTGACAGAATATTTGGCAGATGTCTCAGAAGGGTTTATTGACTGATTGGATGAGAACATAAAAGGTGATATATCAGGACAGGCAGGGTTTAAAAAACAACCCAATCCCAGTTTACCAGAGTATTTCTTTTTTCTTTCTTTTTTTTTTTTTTTTTGGTACCAGGGATCAAACTCGGGACCTTGCGCTTGCAAGGCAGTCGGTGGAACCACTGAGCTAAATCCCCGGCCCTATGAGTATTTCTTACCATAAGATGGTGGAGTTTGGCACTCTGCTCATTGGGGGACTCTGGGATGAAGCCGACAAATCATTCCTGCATTTCTTGAAACTTGCTGTTTGCTGTGACAGGAAAAGCACCAAGTGATGGCTCTTGAAACTTCTACAAAATAGATACATTTTAGTCCTCCTCACATTTAATTGATTAAATGTAGTTAGTGGTCACATCTAAGTTCAGGAATAGAAAAATGGCATTTTACCACATATCCAGAAGAAGCTTTGGAAATATTTGGTAAATAGCACTGATAACCGTCACACTAATGACTCAAATTTTAGACTTGGGAAATGTGATGGTATATTTAACTGGGATGTAAAGTACCAAGGGCAGCATTGGTAACAAAAGAGGATATTGAATATATTTTGGAATTAATAAATTAGGGGTGGGTGAAAGTATAATATTAATATTCAGCATATCATTGGGTCTGGAAATCTAGAGCTCAGGAGAGGCCTAATTAGAGATTTGGTAATGTAAATGTACTGGTTTAAATGGATAAAAACAAAGTTGGGGATGTAGCTCAAAGGTGGAGCACTTTATATAGCATGCTTGGGAACCCACCATGCCTCCTAGACAACTAAAAGCAACAACAAAAAACACTAAAATCTTTACTGTAGTCTTAGAAACACTCAAATATGAAATTAAATTAAGGTCTTTTTTATATACCAGACACTCAGGCTAGATAGCCAGCCATGTGATTTTCCAGACAGATTTTTACAAACAAAATTTTACACACATTATTGGGCAGTGTAATGTAGACTAGTCCATTTGATTCAGTTGAATATAGCAGACCTACAGTAAAATGAACAGAACAGATGAAAGGAATTTTTCCATAATATGAACATACCTTGTTGAATTCCAAAACATACTACCTTCCTGGGCAATCATTTTGACATCATATCTATAATTGTTTTTCATTAAAGTCTGGAATTTTCTTGCTAAAGAGCAAGAAAAAAAGACCTAAATATATACCAAATCTATAACATAATTGTATAATCATTTAAAACATTAAGATTTTTCTTTTCATACTAAAAAGAGATTATTTGAAAAACATCATCTATAAGATGCAATAATAATTTACTTTGGTTTACAAACAAGTCTAGGAAGTTGACCACAATCTTAGAGCTAGTAAATGCCAAAGTTAGCATTTAGTCTAATCATCCAATTCTAAATCTTAGGCAACCTTAATCTTTCAAGTAATCAAGAATTTAGCTGGGTGTGGTGGCATGTGCCTGTAATCCCAGCACTGCAGGAGAATCACTGAGGTTCGAGGCCAGCCCGGGCTGAACTCCATAGTGAGACCCTGTCTCATAAAACAACCAACCAGCCAACCAAAAAAAAAAAGCAAAAAACCCCAAGAATTAAAAAAACCATTTTGAGGGGCACAGGGTGCAGCTCAGTAGTACCTCACCAGCATAAGGCCCTGGGTTCAGTCCTTAGCACACATAAACCTATTTTGAATTATTTATGCAATTGGCCAAACAGTATAATAAAATGGATTTATATTTAAAATGTGAAACATGTATATGTACACAACATATATAAATATGAAAACATAATTAGTAAGGATAGTTAAAGTTGTAAAGACAAAACCGTTCTACCCCTTTGGTAGTCAGTTCAGTTTACCTGCTCTGCCTAAGGTCATCCAATTCAGATTTCATATCAGACTCACCAAAAATCTCCCTTACCTAGTTATCTTAAGTCAGAGCATTGCATATATTGTCAGAGAGGTAAATATACCCACGTTCAGACTTAAATACTGGGAAATCACATTTAGGAAGAATTGGAATGGTTACAAAATGATGGGATTTACAGACTGACTGAACCCTTTTGGTTTTACCAGCTGTTTTCACAGTTGACTCAGATTAAGGATTGACTAATTTGTTTCAGGTTTTACATGTAAAGTTTAGGGTTGCCTCGTCAGACAAATCACTTCTGAATGACTGAGTTTTGCCATTTTATATTTTAATGAGCCCTAGTAACAAAAATTTTCTAAACTTGATTAAGTTTATGTAAAGATGTGAGAAAGAAATTGTAAATGAAAATGACAAACGCAAGCAAATGTTTATTCAGTTGTTTTTCTTTTTATCTTGCAGCAATGCACCTCTTGCTTTTTCCTCCAAAGTATGTTATGTTAAGTTTCGTGACCCATCAAGTGTTGGTGTGGCCCAGCATCTAACTAACACGGTTTTTATTGACAGAGCTCTGATAGTTGTTCCCTGTGCAGAAGGTTGGTATCTCACATTTTTTTTCTATTATTTTAATCTCTGTCCTATTACTATAGCCTTCTGTCCTAAAAATTAGCAAGTAGGCAGTACTCTGGGGAGTGTTGTGTGTATGTGTATGTGTGAGACAGAGTGTGCACAAGGGTGAAATGTAGAGAAAGAATTTTTACCTAATAGTAAATTATAGTAAAGTGATTAATTTATTACTTGTGTACGTACATTTGAGATCTTATAACATAGCATTTAAAAAATTCATAAAGTATTTGGCTTCTCTAATTTCCTTTGGCTTTCTGTAGTCAATTTTCAGATTCTCAAGAGAGCTTTATGAAATTACAAGAATAGTTTTAAGTTGCTATGAGTAATTATTTTAAATATGTAAATAAATATACATTTACCTTAATACTATAAATAGTATTACAAATAAGAACAGTGTATACATTTTGCCAAATTTCTGGGTTAATTATATTTGTAGGAAAAATATCTATACTTTCAAGTATCCTTTTAAGGTAATTTACCTTTATCGTTACCATGAGACTGTTCTTTTGTATTCAGTGTACTTGTTTGCAGTGCAACTGGAATGTTTTCTTTCATTGGCCTGTGGACAATTGAAAAAAAATCATGGAAAACAATTTTTCAAAGGTTTCATCAAGAAAATAGTTGTTGAAGATAAGAACAGGGCCAGAGGCCTTATACTTACTTATTAAATTTTATGCTTTAAACTGCTTTAAGAGCTAATTATTACTAATTATTTTCTAGTAACTTATTTTTACAGAGCTGCTCACATAATAATAGGCTGTGCTGAATTTTGACAGTTCTGGTGTGTAATTAACTTTCATTTAGAGCACTGACTATGGCATGTGTATATGGATTTTAGAATTGGGTTATGGCAAATTGAAGTGTCCTTACAAATAGATATTTTCTGTGGATGGTGGTAATTATTTTACAACATAAAAATTTACCAGAAACAATTTTTTCATATATAATTTTAAATTTAAACCTTTTGTAGTGACCAGGTTAACATTAAAATAATAATGTGTAATAAGCATCTTGTCCCACTTTCAGGTTTTTATGCTTATTTTGGAATGCTTTTTCTGGAATGTCAAAAACAGTTAAATACAATGAGTAGCAGGCTGATACTTTTGAAATCCAAGAATAGAACATTCTGGATTTTTCCAGATAAAACTGAAAATGTCTTTCCCATGTTTTAGGGCTTAGAGTGGGTAGGGAACATAAAAATGCATTAAAGTTAATTATTGATATGTAACAAGTATCCTTATCTGATGTTCTGTTAAGGGTACAGTGAGCCTCAAATTTAAGAACGAGCTGGGAAAGGAGATGGTTAATGATTTAGTTTTATATAGTTTTTACTGAAATTTTATATCAAAAAGCTGTAGGAAAAAAGAAACCAAATAGAAGATATATTAATCTGGAATATTGTATCAGGAAATTATTCCACCAGCAGCACAGGCTCTTTATAACGATCATTATTGAATTGTAAGGAAAAATTTTTTGTAATCATTGCTTTGTTGGAACCTTGCTGTATTCCCATAAAATCTTTTGTACATTAGAGAAGCCCTGTTATTTGTCATAAATGTTCAAGGTTATTGGCATGTAGAGGTTCCTTTTACTGTTTACTTGATAGAGATGAGTAAATACACATTGAGTTACAGATTTTAAATATTTTTGATATTTTGATACAAATTTTTATTATTTTTGAACAAATTTAAGCATACTTTTTTGTAATTTAGAAGTATTTCAGAACACTGGCATTAGAAGAACTTAACATTACTTAATAGCATTAGATATAACTGATATTAGAAAATTTCTGGTACTAGAAAAAATTCAGATACTGTTTTTAAGTTATATTAAATACAATAGTGATGAATTTGTGGAAGTTGAAGAATTTCGTAGTGAAAGTCTGATTCTGCAGTGCCAGCAAAGAAATAATGCATTCTTTTTTTTTTTGTACCCGGGATCGAACTCTGGTCCTTGCGCTTGAGAGGCAGGCACCAGAACCACTGAGCTAAATCCCCAGCCCAAATAATGCATTCTTGTACTAAAAAGATAGCAGAGCGAATTTGAAGTAAACCCAAGGAAAATGTTCCAGTGGAGGAATTCTGTAAGAGGAGACATGCTGTGGTGCTAAGAGCATTCTGTGGTACATTTCTCAGACTGCATTCTTTCCTTGATATCATAGAAACAGTATCATGACATAAATGAGAAAAATCATAGAAAAAATTTCAAGAAAAGCTTTTTAGTTTCTTTCAATTTGCTCTTTTTAGTTCAGAGAATAGCAGAAGATCCTAAGATGTATAAATAATGTTTGATGTGTAACGGATTCATACATATTAAGCATTAACTATTGTTCATAAAATATGCCATTTCTAAATAAAGTATACTTTCATTGTACTTGTGTAACTATGACCTCTTTTGTTGTTGCGTACATTTCAGATTTCTTTTTATAAATGTTAACACTTAGAAAAGATAAGGTCAAACATAACAAAGGTGTCAGCCTAATCATCAGTCATAAATTTATGTCCACATTTTCTGGTAGATGGATTTTGACTATTAATTTGGTTTTGTATGTTTTCTCTATGTGATATTTGTGCATTATTAGATGACTAGACTGGCCAAGGCAGACCTGTTACACTTGCCTGAGTTAGGCATTGTTTGCCATGCCACTAAACCTGCCGTCAAGTGAAACCTTCATTTGGGAAATGAGATCGGAGTCTGAACCGCAGAAGATGGACGCCCTGTCTCTGTTTTTTATTGTTTTACTTTGATTTCATTTCTTTTTCTTTATTTTGTCCCCCCCTTTTTTTTGTTTTTGTTTTTGTTTTGTTAAATCTCTTTCACTTTAACTTGTGAGCTGGTTTTCCAGTTCTTTGTAAATGGTATTCCATTAAGGTTCATAACGTGTTGCAAATTATATCAGATGATTTAACAGCTCAACCTTAAGATAAATTTTCATGTAGTAAGTTAGAAGAATATGGTGTTTTGAAGCTCAATGGGTCTTAATGGGTACTTACAGATTCATCAGTTACATTTTGTTCTTAAACAATAAAACACAGGAATCTTAGAAACACTTTCTGATCTTAGTGCAAGATTTTTGTAGGTTTTTTTTTCCAAGTTTACATCTCTCACAAAAACCAACTGATGGTTTTTGATTTTCATTCTTTCCCCTAGAATTCTAGGCATACAGAGTCATCAAGGAAAATAAGTAAATTTCTTAAAACTATCTGGGGGTAGGGAAGGAGGGTCTTTCACTTTTATGGTGGTTATTATACAACTTATATTTCCTTGTCTTAAGACTTTGTTGCCTATGTGGGGAATGGATATTTGAGACAGTTATTTGCATGTGTATGTTTCTGTTTGCTTGAGTTTTTTAAGTTGAAAATTCTTCAGATATTACTAGCTTATAAATGGCTTCAGAGATTATACTTTAATAATACTTTAATAATGTGAGAGATGTTGTTTTTCCTCTTAGTTGTCTTTGAGGAATACAGCTTGGGAAAAATGCTAAATGATTATTTGTTTTATACTTTTATATAATCTGATAGTAATTAGAAGATAAATTTGATACAACTTTATTTTGAAAATTAAGCAATGGAATTTTTTCCTCAAGTTAATAAAGTAACAAAAAAAATTAACAGTAACAGTTAGTTACAGATTTATAATAGTTTATTACTATCAAGAAAGACAATGAGAATCTGACAACCTACTGATATTTAACCCAGAAGTGAGACTTTCATAATACCATGTAATCAGTTTTTAGCCCATGTTGAAAACCCATTTCATTGGTATAGTCTTTTTACACTGTCTTTATGGATAGTTTTGCTTATTTGTTGACAAGTAATATTAAATTTGGCACATCTCTACTAGATTAGCACTCTTGTTTTTTTAGGTGTGTAAAGTAGTGTACTGAAGCATGGAGTTTGCATGTCAGGACCCTGGTTGGTTTATCAAGGGTGTTCAAGCTTTACAGATCTCTTTAAAAAATAATAACTGTTTATAATAGATGAAATGAGTGTGATATCAATATAAATAATACAGTATATATCAGTATAAATACATGTTAATAGTAACTAATACATATAAAATAGATTATTGTTATTCAGTGTCTTCAATAAAGTCAACCAACCTTTTATTTATCTTTGTGCATGTTAAGAAATATATTCTCCAGAGTTTAGATCGAAATAACTTTGCTTTTGAAATTAGTTAGAATGATAGAAGCTTAGATGCTGCAAAGTTAAAACAATAGGCATTTGCTAAAGCTAATGTAATTTTTATTGTTTCTATAGAAAGACATAACCATTATTTAAAACAAGTTTTTAAATTTTACCTATGTTTAGAGATAATATTCAGATAATATTGTTTAGAGGTTTATTTCTGCCCATCTAATTGTTTTAAGTAGGGTTTTTTACCTCTGAAACCAGGAATGGTTCTTTTGAAAATTTAATACATATATTTCAGCTTAATGTAATTTTGTACACTGTTTTAAAACACTTTTGACAGGTTTGTAATGGAAATGCATAGACAGCTAGCAGATGAGTAGTTATAAATATACCTGCAGCTTTTCAAGACACTTTATTTTGGTAAGAAGATAAGGAAAAATATGAAAGTTGTGGTCTGTCAAAATTAATTGATAAAAATTCAGCAATTAAACATGGCACATCATGTACTTGTTTCAATTTTCAGGTTGTAGGCATTTTTTTAGTTTCTAAGATTGTTTTAGTGTTACTGTTTTTACAGTTAAAATGTTTATAAGCAAGACAAGCATTAACCACTTCTCCATATAAGTATACATAAATTGGTTCTAAAAGTATCGTTAAGTTTTCAGAGACTAGGGAACTTTTATTATTCTTAAAATTTTTTAGCAATTTTCCAAGGCATATTCTTTAGGCATCACTGATACTAGTGAGATGCCTTATTAACTGAGTAGGTGTAGATTTCCTTTTAAACTGAGCATGATTATATGAAGTAGGTTTTGTTTTCTTCTGTTTACTTGAAATTGAATGGAATCTGTTGAAGGGTTACTGAAATTGTTTGCATCACAAGTAGGTAGTTTCAGCAACAGGATAGGGACACTCATTAAGGAACAAATTTCAATTCGCACATATTTGTTTTTTCTTTTTCATTTTTTTGACTAATTTGGTTATTTGCCATTTCTGGGGATTAAACTTTAAAAAATGTTCTTCTTTTCTGTATCTGATGTTCTGTGTGCTATTAGTGATGCAGCCAACACGAACGGTTGTCATGTGTAACACAACTTTCGATCACCGCGAAAACACCGTCCTGGGAAAGCGTCCATGCTTGATATCGTTTGGTTCATGAACATTAAGTTTCCAGTACAGGTGACCCATAGCTCAAAGTGTTAAATAATTGTCTACATTATTCAATTTTTAAAATAATATTCCATTAATGAGATTGTTAGTCTTTGAAGTTTTGCTCACTTTTATTTTTCCTAATAGAGCAGGCTAAAAGGAAAGACTTAAGTTCTTATTTATTTCTTTGTGCAGATCTGATAGATAGATTCATTTATTATTATTATTTTTTAAGTGCAAGGGTAATTGTAAAATCATAGTATAAAGTTGGTGTGGTGTTTCTGCTTTCCATAATGTTTGGAACTTGCTTCTGCAGGTAAAATCCCAGAGGAATCCAAAGCCCTCTCTTTATTGGCTCCTGCTCCAACCATGACAAGTCTGATGCCTGGTGCAGGATTGCTTCCTATACCAACTCCAAATCCCTTGACTACAGTAAGTACTGTTCATAAGGAAGTATCTGTTATGAATGGGATGAACACTGAACTATGTAATCAGTTGAATAAGGAGCTTAGAGAACTGTTTCCACTTTAGATCTGTTACTATATTTTTTTAATTGAGAAGTTTCAGAATCTCTACTTAAAACCTTTTCCCCCATATATCACTGACTTAAGCTGCCTTTTGTAATTAGTGCTGAAGTAAGTATGGATTCATTTAAATTTGAATTCAGTAAAGTATTCATTAGAAAATCATTTATTGAAAGTATTTTAGGTAGCACAAGGCATTGGAGGATCTTGGTAATTTCCCAGTTAATGAGGACTAAATTCATTTTAAAAATGTGAGATGATCGACAACTTTGGTAATGGTCAAAAGTGTTCATCTCATATTAAGAAATAAGATGAAAACATGGCACATGTATTTTACCATGAACTAAGCAGAATTAGATGGTAATTAATTCCTCTTCTGTGATTTCCAAGTAGGCTTAAAAGATGCTACCATACTTGGCTCTTAGTTTTTGTACAAAAGATTCTGGTCTTCTTTTTTAAAAAGGGCCATTTTTCATCAAATACAAACCTAAAACAAAATAACAAAGCTTACCTTAACTGGAAGCTGAATCTAGCTTTTATGGTGTTCAATACAGAGTAAGTTAATAAATAACCTTTGTGATTATAGTTAGTGTATCAAATTTATGAAAGTTTTAAAAAATTTTGAAGTATAAACTTTGGGTCTTTTTAATTTTTACATATATTATTCTGGAAATGTGCATTGTGGCCCAAGGCAAGCAATCCTTCTTTTTTTGGTTTTGTTTGTATGTTTGTTTTGTTTTTTGAGACAGTATGTCAGTATGTAGACCAGGCTGGCCTCAGACTCCCAGCAATTATCCTGTCTCCGTCTCCCAAGTGCTGGGATTATAGGCAGGAACCACCATGGCCATCAGGCAACGCTTTTTGATTGAACTTTTCTATTGAAAAAGCAGAATGCTGGTCAGGGTTGTTGAAACACAGCAAGTGAGGGAAAGATAGTGGATATTTGAGCTTGAAGGGATGGTTAGGACACTAATTATGTAGGGCTATTTAGATTGTGGAAAGGAGTTTGAATATCTTTAAAGTACTTAGAAGCCACTGAAGAGTTTTAAACACGAGTATAAACATGATTTGACATCTTTTTGAAAAAGATCAGATTGGCTACTGTGACAGAAAGAAGTGACACTGGTTTTATGAATTGTGTTTTCACCTTTGGGAAGTGCCATTACTTAAGTTAATAAATCTTAGTAGTGTATAGCGCATTTGTAGTCAAAATTGTCTGCAGTAGCATAAGTAGAAATGAAAGTGGTTGTGTTTTCTTTTTTTTCTTTGAAAAATCTTTCTGTTAATTCTGATATTTTTTCCCATTTTCCCGTTCTAGATCTTCTGTCTCAGTTTAAGTTATATTAAAAATAACATTTTGTTTCTGTGTGTGGTGGGAAGCTGAGCAAGGAGAGTTATAAGTTGCAGTCTCAACTGTTAGCAAGACCTTGTCTCAAAATTTAAAAATAAATAAAGGGTTGGGAATGTAGCTTAGTGTGAAGGTCCTGGGTTCAATCCTCAGTATTTCTGAAAACAACATATTCTTTAATGTGTGAACTATCTGAATTTATTAATGCTCTGGGAAGATCAAAGTTTTTTTTTTTTTTCCTACCATAGCATATTTAAGAACTTACTATTTTAGATATTTCTTAGGTGAACTTTGTCTCTATTTTCAGTTTTATTGAGAATTAAGTTAATAACTCGGCAAAATGAGATTCTGTGATAATTTAATGATTAGGAATTCATACAATTGATAGTCTTGAATGACCAACTCCAGTTGACTCATTATTTGTGAATTCTGTATTTGTGAATTCACTTAATAAGTAAAAACCTATTGAAACTCTAACATCACTGTTTGCAATACTTTGTAGCCATTTACAGAAATACATAGAAAATGCTAATTGTGCATATTTTCGATGAAGTGAAAGTGACACTTTGCCTTCTGTTTTGGCACTCATGCTGTAAAACCAGCATACTTTTGTGGTCTGCTTAGTGCAACATTTTTTAAAATTTTGTGCTTTTGGTCATTTTACTGTTGTACACAAGCCCCTACACATATGCTAAAGAAAGTGCAGGCAGTGTGTGATGTGCCTTAGGAACAAATTGTGTCTGTTAGATAAACAGATTATTCCGAGTTATAATGTTACAAACCCTGACTTCAAGGTTAATGAATCACCAACACTTATTAAATAAGATGCCTTCACACAGAAACATGTAAGAGTTATGTATTTAGTGGTTTATGAAAATACTATAACCTGTCTCCCAGTAATTTAACCTTGTATCTTACCTGGGAACAATTGTTCAGTATCCAGTAATATTGTTTTTGGAATTATTATAGAATTTAATTACCTTGAATGAGAATCTCAAAACTAATGTGACTTCACTTTTAATAATTCAGAAGTATGCATGGCTTAAAGGTAGGAGTCCTTAGTCTTTCATTCTTGTTGAGTTGATCCATTTTTCAGGATTAGAGAATGGTAGTTTTAGATATTAATAGAAAATATATGCTGTTGTGTGTGTGTTTTTTCCCCCTTATAGCTTGGTGTTTCACTTAGCAGTTTGGGAGCTATACCAGCAGCAGCACTAGATCCTAACATTGCAACACTTGGAGAGATACCACAACCACCACTTATGGGAAATGTAGATCCTTCCAAAATTGATGAAATTAGGAGAACAGTCTATGTTGGAAATTTGAATTCCCAGGTAACTAAATAAAAGAAGAAACCAAGTTGTAGTACCTCTTACTCTCTTCTTAAAACTCATATTGGTAAAGTAATATATACTTGATGTTTTGAAAGAAATACATTATTAAAAGTGTCAACTTGGTTTCCTTAGACAACGACAGCTGATCAACTACTTGAATTTTTTAAACAAGTTGGAGAAGTGAAGTTTGTGCGGATGGCAGGTGATGAGACTCAGCCAACTCGGTTTGCTTTTGTGGAATTTGCAGACCAAAATTCTGTACCAAGGGCCCTTGCTTTTAATGGAGTTATGTTTGGAGACAGGCCACTGAAGTAAGAAATCTAAACAAAGAAATTTTAATGATTAAAGTATATTGGATGGAATTAAGGCTTTTTTCTTTTCAGTAGTAATTGGCAATTTGTGGAAAGGAAGACTTAAATAGACTAGTGAAATATGTGTCATTTTAGCCTTTCAATTTCTTAAAGTTGTACTTGAGGACATTTGTTTCTCATTTTCTATTTTGAAGGTCTGATATACTATTAACATGTAACCTACATAACAGTGTTAGATTTTTTTCTGTAAGTTTTAATATGGGTTAGTTTTGTAACATGACTCTAGATGTATGGGGAACTTAATGTGTAGATTGAACCACATTACTTTCAGTAATAAGAAAGAATTTTGCTAAATTTCAAATCCCGGGAAGAAAATGTGTCCAGAAATGTTTTAAACCAGACATTTTGACTTTTAAGATTTGTTCATATCCTTGTTTGTAACAAAATGATGTAGTGTTTTAGATACTCAAGACCATAAATTCTATTTTATGCAGATTATTAAGGCAGACAATTTTATCTATTTCATAGGTGATTGTTTTAGTTACACAATTTGATCAGTATTTTGCTGTTAAAGGACGAATAACTGTTCTTAGTGGGTGCTTATCTTCATTGTGGAATAGGTAAGGCAAGACACATCACATTCAGATGTGTCATCAGATTCAGATGAAGCTTTGGAGAAGCTTCTCTTGCCTGGTAGTGGAAGTTTTTTTTTTTTTTGGTACCGGGGCTCGAACTCTGGTCCTTGCGCTTGCACTTGCGCAGCAGGTGGCGAAACCACTGAACTAAATCCCTGGCCCTAGTAGTGGAGGTTTTATCACATCCCTCCCACATTCAGAGGTGTGTCTAGGCAGGGCATGGTGGTGGACGCCTGTGATCCCAGCACTCGGGAGGGTGAGGCAGGAAGATCGCTTCAAGTTCCGAGGCCAGCCTGGGCTACATAGTGAGTTCAAGGCCAGCCTGAATTATACAGCGAGACCCTGTCTCAACCAAAAAAAAAAAGTGTTGTCTAAGCCATGGAACAGGGTTGATTAAAATGGTGCACATAATATAGAGCTTTCCCTTCATCCTGCCAGGGTGTACAAATTAACAGCAGAATCTTACACTCTTAATATAAAAAGGATTCATTTTAATATTGCTATCAGCATTATGATTTATAATTCTAAGCTATGTAGACACTTGCTCTTCTTCTATTTGTGCTATTCAAAGAAGTTGGCAAGAGTTTAGCTTTTCCTTTTCACTTTTAGCAAGCGATGAGGGGAGGTGGGAATGAGATTGTGGATGTGAGATTGTTTATTCTTTATTTAGCTGTATAAAGGTGCTTCTGAGTTGTCTTCAGATTTTAAATATGGATCATATAAACATGTGTTTTGTGTTTTATAAAATATGGTGTGTATTTGTGATATGCTAATATTTTTAATTTAGAATAAATCACTCCAACAATGCAATAGTAAAACCCCCTGAGATGACACCTCAGGCTGCAGCTAAAGAATTAGAAGAAGTAATGAAGCGAGTACGAGAGGCTCAGTCATTTATCTCAGCAGCCATTGAACCAGGTAAGGCCATAGTGTTGTTACATAGGTCACAGTTTAATGATCACAGAATCTTAGAACTGGAAGGAATTTTAGAAATTATATTGTTCAGTCCCTTTGCTCTACCAATAAGAAGACTGAAACTCAAGAAATAGCAAGTGGCTTCCTCAAAGAATGATTTAGCACATATTGGTCCTTTCCCAAAATACCGAATTTTGAGGCATGTTAGCCTGAGTTAGTTAGCTTATATTTTAATAGCAAAATTAGTATTCAGATTGATTGGCTGAAATCAAAGTATTATTGTGAGGCTAAAAAGGAAAGTGCAGATGTATTTAAACTGTTGCAATCAAGCAGGCTTACTTTCCTTAAAGTTTTAATTTTAAAGCTAGAAAAGAACTCTGATTTAGAAAAAAATAGATACTCCTTTAATAAGGTAAAGGAACAAACTTTTATGTTACTAAATAAACCTTTGGATATTTGAAACTGACACTCAGAACTTAAGCTTCAGTTCCATCAGGATAAATAGAGGAAGAATGTAAAATCATTGTCATAGGAATTGCAGACATGTTTTAATCATACATTATGGCAGCAACAAAATATTACGAACAGCTGTTTATAATCATCTGGTTTGTATGTACTGCTGCAGGGTGGCTGCACTCAACGAGTTTATGCAATGACTTTCTTGGATGTTTCTGAAGGATAATTGCACAGGCGGAGGATGTACAGAGAGTAGGCCCCTTGCACTATATGTGGTACATTCCACTTGTGCCTAATTATTAACTGGGATCTTTAATTGTTCTGAGCTTACACTGCAAAGTGGTTTTTTCCTCCCAGAGTCTGGAAAGAGCAGTGAAAGAAAAGGCGGTCGATCTCGTTCCCACACTCGCTCAAAGTCCAGGTCTAGCTCAAAATCCCATTCTAGAAGGAAAAGATCACAGTCAAAACACAGGTGAGAGTTTCTACTATCATATTTTGCATTTTTTCAATTTTTAATTTAAGAATTGATGAATTTTTGTTAAAATATCATACAGAAATTTCATAGTGTTCATCTGGAAGTGTAGTTACCTTTAGAAACTGCTTTGATTATAATACTGTAGTTAGGATGAAATTTCATCTGATAATTTTTAATTTTTAAACTAATTTTCAGTTTTAGATGTTGGTTTTCTGTCTACAAATGCTGTTCTTGGGCTGGGGATGTAGCTCAGTGGTAGAGAGCTTGCCTAGCATGTGTGAGACCCTGGGTTTGATCCCTAGTACCTGAAAAAATAAGATACTTTGTTGATTTTTCTAAAAGCAAACTAGTCTTTAAATAGAAATAGCAAGAACTTTTCATTCTTCATATTAAGAAAAGGGAACATATTTAATGGCTATGCTGAAAATATTGTTTGGGTTGCAGATATTTTTTCTCTCTCCCAGTGCACTCCAGGTCTGGGGAATACTACCCCAGGTGTGGTTCCAAGCAGTTTTCTTTCTCCAGGACCATGTGTCAAGTGGAGTACTTCAAGTCCTTGGTACTCCTGGTGATAGGAGCCTCTGCCCACTACTGAAACCATGCAGAAACATGCAACCTCAGCAAGAACATTGTGCTGTGCTTAAGCGCTGTTTGTGTTGTGTTTATCCTATTTTTTTTATCATAGCTATAGCTTTTTAATTTTCTCTTTTATCTTTCATTGCTTTGTGGTTGGTGCAAAGGATACCTCAAAGTGTAAAGCATACCGTCTTGATTGGAAGTACCTTAAGAATCCTGTCTTCTGCTGTCTTTAGGGTGTGGAGGGGGCTTTGAAAGGGTATATAGTAGACCCCAGTTGCATGTTACATTACTTTTGTCTTGATGAGGTATGGAAAATGTGCATGTGTGTATGTTGTAGGGGTATTAGAGAAGGAGGATGGTTTGTGGGGAAGGAAAGAACCAAGGTATTGTGTGTTGAGCCTCACAAGCAAGCTGAGTTTAGCTTGTTTTTCTGTGATGATCAAGGAGATTTCAAGGAATGAAACAGACTACTATGATTTTCTTTGATTCTAATAAATTATATTTCTAGCTATTTGCTGGTATATACTTCCTTATTCTTAGTTTGCAAAATCTTTGGAATATTGTTTTATTTATTAGATCTTACAGTAAGGCAAATTCAGAATCAAGTGAAGGCAGTTTGTTTTATGTACAAGAAATATAAAAGCAGTGCAGCTGGAGTCAGTTGGAGAAAGCAAGCAGAACAGAGTGACATTGGGTACCAGACTGTGGGCATTCACATATGTTGACCAGGATATGGTCAGGGTAAAGCAGATCAAGGAAACAGAAAATTTTGTTGAAGAATAATTTCTCTGAGGAAAAAAGGGACCAATGTCCTGAATCTTGTTTTGAGTGATTTATTATAAGAGAAAGTCAAACTCCAAGGCTGGAAAAACTAAAACTTGATGATTAACATTGTTTCCTTGATAATATATGTAAAGCTTTGTGTTTTTTGAAATTAAAACAGATGTTTTGTCTACTTTGTCTACTACCCATTTTAAGGTTTTTGTTTTAATTACTCTATATATGGGTATATTTCTCCAGAGGTTTTTATTATTCAGACTGTATTGAAATTTATTAATTATCATTGTGATAGTCATGAGAATACTTTCATGTTGTAGATCTAATCTATGTACCAAGGATTTTGTTTTATTTTGTTTTTAGTCAGCACATTCTACTTTTATTATATATGCATGTAGAGACACATATCCATTACAGACTTCATAAATACAAAAGAGGATGACTTCTCTTTAAAGGAGGGGAAAAGAAAATACCTTATTGATATTTGGCTTAAGACTCTTCAACTGGAAGAGCCCTTGTCTCCCCTAGGAATCGGGAAGAGGATGACAAACCTTTCTTGGCTTTTTCTTCTGTGCCAGCGGAAGCTGGTATTCTTGGATCTTGCTCTTATCCACTAGACTTCTCAGGAGCCCTTGCTCTTGGGCCCACCCTCTTCTACTTTTCCCCCATCTATGGATGCTTTAGAGTTTGTTTCTCCAACTTAAAAATTTGCTTTCATAAACTGGTCACCTGAGAGAGGAGAAGTGGAGGGAGGTTAAATAATAATTACTAAAATACAGTTAAATGATAGGAATAAGGTCTCATGTTCCACAGCACAGTTGAATGACTACAGTTTACAATGATTTATTATATATTTACAAAGAACCAAAAGAGAAGAGTTCAGAGGTTCCTAGCACAAAGAAATAGTAAATATTTAAGGAGCTGGAAATGATATGTTATTCTGATTGTTCACTACACCTTGTATACATGTATTGAATTACTACACTGTATGCACCCCCTAAATATGTACAATTATATGTGTCAATTTAAAAAGATTAATGACAGGTCTGGTGTTGAATACCTACAATCTCAGCACTTGGGAAACTGAGGAAGGAGGATCACTGCAAGTTCAAGGCCAGCCTGAACTGCCTAGTGATACCCTGTCTCAAAAAAAATAAAAAACAAAATAAAATTAGAAACACCCTCCTCCCCCAAGCTCCTCTCACCTTATTCTGTTCCTTCCTCTTATAGTAAAAGGGAAGATGGGATTTCCTGTGACTGTGTCTTTGGCTAGTACTAAGGAGATATGTTTCCACTTTGTCCAAATTTGATACATGTTTTATTCTTTTTTTGGTATTGGGGATAGAACTCGGGACCTTGTGCTTGCGAGGCAGGCGCTGGAACCACTGAGCTAAATCCCCAGCCTACATGTTTTATTCTTAGAAACAGTCTTAGGAAAAGTAGGCAGAACTATAATTGTAATTTTAAGGTAAGTAACCTTTACAGACCAGCATAGGAAATATAAGACATTTTATAATGTTATAATGTTATAATGTTTTAATGGAAAACAATTGATATACAAATGAACTTTGAAGCAATATGATGGTAAGTTGCTATGTATTTACAATTTAATTTTAAAATATAATTTTGCAGGGGCCGGGGATTTAGCTCAGTGGTTTCGCCGCCTGCTGTGCAAGCGCAAGGACCCGAGTTCGATCCCCGGTACCAAAAATATATATATATAATTTTGCAAATTATTAAAAATGCAGAAACTGTTGATAACAACTCTTCTTTATCTTTGGTTAGATTAGACCTATTCTTCACTGCTTTTAGCATTCTTAACCAGAAAACTACTAGTGGGTGAGATAGAGACATGAAATATTTAGTGTCAAAATTCACATATAATAATTACTCTTGAGCAATGACTTTTGAACTCTTGAGACCTACAGGGCAAGGTAGGAAGCCAAATGATCAGTGCTTTTTTTCCCCTTTTTATTACTAACTCATTTATTAGGACTATACTTATTTTTTTTTAAAGGAAGTTTATTAATGTTGGAAAGCACTGCTTTGAGGAAGACAAAAGAATTGTTTATATTTTTAGGAAGACTAACTAGAACAGAAATCTTAAGCCTTGTTACTAAGCACATAAAAGCAAAGACACTTTAAAAGATTAACTTATGTGAATATAAATGGACTAAAAATGTCCTCAATTTTGTAGTTTTGCCTTAATATCTACTACTTGACCTTCACGTCTCAGATACTAAGTGATAAAGATTTGAACTAACTCTGAATGATCTTATTAAACAGGTGATATAAAGATAAATATATTATCTTTAAAGTCATATAATAGATGAGTAGTTGAAAATTAGCTGTAGGAAAACAAATTTCGACTAAAAATAAATGTATTTTAAAATAAGATTTCAAGCCAAGCATGGTGATTCACACCTGTAATCCCCGTACTCTGGGAAACTGATGCAAGTCAAGCCCTGCCTGGCCAATTTAGATCCTGCCTTAAAATAAGTACATTAAAAAAGGGGTTGGGATATATAGTTCAGTGTGAAGGTCCTGGGTTAAATCCCCCATACGGGGTGTGAGGTGTTGAGTATTATCTGGGGATGTTTTTGATTTCATAACATACCACAAGTATCGTCATTTAACCCTTATAGATATTTGTTATAATTTAATTTATTGAAATATAACCATCAAGATGATCATCGTACTTGTGAAAGTTCATTAGACCTCCTTTGAATAAAATAGATATAATTTAAAGTTTATATTTGTGTTAAATTTTGATGATATGATCCTTGGTACCAAAAAAAAATTTTGATGATGATGATGACAGTGATGATGATACTGAGAATTAAGTTTTAAGCATTTTCTCTGTGCCAGAGACTGCAATACAGTTTTCCATATGTTGTATGCTTTAATTCTCATGATAGTTGTAGGAGATATGTGATTCTTACTCCATGAGGTTAGTGACTAGCCAAAGGCCTCAGAGATAGCGATGACAGCTGGCTTTCAGAGCCAGCTGGTTATACTCCAAAGTTGGTGGTGAGTCTAATCCCTTTATTATTTAAGTTGTGTGCACCTGCCTTATATTTTAATGAGTTGTGCCTGGGATACTTCATTATGAAAAAAATCACCAAAACCCCATTTCTTCAGTTGGGAAAGGGGCCTGTTCAGAATGGAAATTTCAGTTGTTTTTCCTAGGAGAATTCAATAATAAAATATTCTTTTAATAGCTATGATTATAGTTAGAGCTATAAAATCAAGGCATTGCAAATTAACATTTGGTTATATCTAGTTTTACCTCATGGGTAATGAATGACTTATTTTCCTGTCACACTAGCACTCTCATTAAGTACTGTGCTTCCTTATCTGTGGTTCTTAATGTTTGTTGTGACAAACAGTACACAGCAATGTATAGAAATTACTTTGAATTGGCCCGGTATGGTGGCACATGCTTGTAATGAATCCTAGCACTTGGAAGGTTGAGGCAGAAGGATCACCATGAGTGGGAGCCTGAGCTTCATAGTGAGTTCCAGGCTAGTCTGAACTACACAGTGAGACCCTGGATTTTTTTGTCTCAAAAAAAAAAGGAAATTACTTTGAACTATGTAACCACTAGTACCCATCTAGATGAGGTTGAAACCAGCTTATAGACGCATCAAGAGTTAAAGACAATTTATGGCATTGAAAACTTAGACTGTGGAAAATGTCTGTCTTCTATAATTTGAGGCATATACTATTTTTTTAAAAAAAATGATTTCTTGGAAATAGTCTGATTGTGACTTAGAAAATAGCTCTCAAATTCTGTTTTGTGTTCTAAATAAAATATCTGGTAAAGTTGCCAATAAATAAACTTAATTTCTGGTAATCTAACTCATTACGTAAGGCAAATTTTAAAATGGTAAATACTGTTAGGATACACTTTTAAATTCTCTTAGAAGAGGTCTTCAGTTTTTTATAATTGAAATTCTAAGAGTAAGTTTTGATTTTCTAACAACTTATTTTTCTTCAGGAGTAGATCCCATAACAGATCACGTTCAAGACAGAAGGACAGACGTAGATCTAAGAGCCCACATAAAAAACGCTCTAAATCAAGGGAGAGGCGGAAATCAAGGAGTCGTTCACGTTCACGGTGAGTTCTGGAAAAATTATGAATGATTCTGTCATTAGTTTTGTTAATTTTTCTTTTGTGGTTTGGGCTTTAATGAGAAATAAAATTCCTGTGATTGTTTTAGTAATGTAGAATTAATATTGAGTGCTGCTGATTGGAACCTGATCGTCAGTATGACGCTTGAGGTTTCCAGATGACTCAACTCACCCTGGTAATTGCTTTGTTGAGCAACTATGTGCACTGGAGTTACATAGAAATTTATATGTAATGTCTATAGCCATTGCACATGATTTTCTATTGCTGATTGCTGAAGAAAGAGGGAGGTCCTTTTTGGGGGGAGAATTATTTTAGTTATCAATTTATCTTTTTGTTTTTCAAGGGACAAGAGAAAAGATACTCGGGAAAAGATGAAGGAAAAGGAAAGAGTGAAAGAGAAAGATAGAGAAAAGGAAAGGGAAAAAGAGAGAGAGAGGGAAAAGGAACGTGAAAAAGAAAAGGAACGGGGAAAAAACAAAGACCGGGACAAAGAACGAGAAAAAGACCGGGAGAAGGACAAGGAAAAGGACAGAGAGAGAGAGCGGGAAAAAGAGCATGAAAAGGAGCGAGACAAAGAGAAGGAAAAGGAACAGGACAAAGAAAAGGAACGAGAAAAGGACAGATCCAAAGAGATAGATGAAAAAAGAAAGAAGGATAAAAAGTCCAGAACACCACCCAGAAGTTACAATGCATCAAGAAGATCTCGTAGTTCCAGCAGGTTTGATAATGCTTTAGAAAATTTTTTTAACTAAGAGGTTTCATGATGACAAATGAAAATACAAAGTTTTAACTAACAGAAATTATTTTATGCAAGCTGAACCCATATAGCAATATTGAAACATTTCCCCCTCCCTAAATATAAAGTAAATATTTTTCTAGCTGACGGATCGCTACAGTATTGAACCTGTAAAGAGGAAAAGATGATAGTTGGACAAAATTATCTGAAAAATTTTAGCTGTCCTTCATAATGCATAACCCTGGCTAATTTATTATCATTATTATTTTTGTTTTCTTGCAGGGTAGCTGTTAGGGGAAGGTATTTTAAAACTGTTCTGTGTGTGTATACATATACATGTACGTATACATACATATATATTAATCTCACATATATACGTGTGTGTGTGTATATATAATATAAATATACCTGTATATATCTATTTTTAAATTGACCACTTAGGTGTCTGTATTTCTTTGGAATAGTAAATTTTAACATGCAAAATAGTTTGTGAAGTTGCAGTGTCATTCTTTTCTGTCATTTATGCTGGTTTTTACCTCTTGAATACATGCCTTTTAAATTTTGAGTTGGGTGTGGTGGTGCACACCTGTAATCCCAGCACTTGGGAGGCTGAGGCAGGAGCATTGCCATGAGTTTGAGATCAGCCTGGAATATGTAGTGAGAACCTGTCTCAAAAAACAAACCCCCAAACCAGACATTTAACTTAATTCTCCTGTGTCAAATGTTAGATTTCCCCCCTTAGGACTGTTCTCTAGATTTATTAATAGGCACACTGCCACTAGGTGGCAGCAGGTTACCGTAGTAACACTTGCAAATGAATCTTCCTCAAGGTTATTGAAACTCACATACTATATTCCATGACTACAAATAAGGTTTCTTACTTACGTCAAAGTGTATCTTAAAATATATATATTTTAACAAAAATAATTTTTCATAGCAAACAATTTGAAATCAAGGAATATTTTAAAATTTGTTAGTTTGAGAGTATATTAATACTAGTCTGACAAATATCAAAAGATAAACAGCAGACTTTTTCACATCTCAGTTTGTTTAGCCCTCACAATAAGTTTGAAAAGATTGTTATTATCAGTGTTTTAAAACTGTGAGGGAACTGAAGCTTTAGAGGAAATGGTCTATCCTGTAGTTTAGTATCAGAAGTATAGTATACCCCCTTTCCTTCTTTTTAGAAATTAAGTTTGAGAGTTTGCTAACCAATATTTGGTATCTACTTTTAGACACTGCTTTAGAACCATGAAGTTGAAAGCAATAGTTTATGTTACAGTGGGGTTTAAAATAAATAGATTACTGTGACATTGCAGCGTGTTGAACCAAAAATTGAAGAGAAACTGTCACCTCTTTTGTTATGGTTATCAGTGTGGCTTGTGACTGGATCTTTACTGCAAAGTAATTTTACTGATTGTGTCATATGCCTTTGTGATTATATGACTATTTAGACATTATCCTTCACAGCACCAGATGCTTTGGTTCCTTTTTAATAGCTTAACTTTTCCTGAAGACTTTGAAACATTTAATTTCTCACTGGCCATTTTAAGTCACTTTATGTTTTAAAAGTTCAGATGGTCACATTTAGTCCTACTTTAAAATAACGTCTGGGACCTGGAAAATAGGATGGCTAGCAACTAGATTAGTTCATAAAGGTTCAACAATTTGGAATGTTCTTCCTTTTGAAAAGCTCAACAAAAATTTACAGTTTCTCTATTTAACGTTTTCCTGCTTTCCAAATGGTTACTGAACTAGAAGACATCTAATTGCTCAGAAACAGGCTACTTTACGTTTTTATTTCCAACATTGTCTTCTCATTTATCTATCATATGTCTGTTCCTTACTGTATTGGGGATTGAACCCTGACCTTTTGCACTGAGCTGTATCCCCAGCAATTTTTTTTTTTTTTGATACCTGGGGATCGAACTCCTTGGGACCTTGTGCTTGCGAGGCAGGCAGTGGCACCACTGAGCTAAATCCCCAGCCTCTAGCCATTTTTTTTTAAGAGACAGGGTCTTGCTAAGTTGTGCAGGCATTGAAATTTTAAAAAAATATTAAAGTGTTGCCTAATATCTATTTTTAAAGGACATTTAAAAAAGTGTCAGCACTTTAAAGTTATTATCAATAAAAATAAGTCCACAAAACAGAAGAGAGCTAGTAGTGTAGCCCATTGTGGAGGCTCTGGGTTTGGTTTTCAGCATTGGAAAAAAAAGAAAGGAAGAGAAAAATAATGTATTGAATATTTACTTTGTGCCAGACTCCATGGTTGGTACTTAAGGTATGATGCTGTAGCTTTATAACAACACTGTAAGACTTGAGTTATTAATTGTCTTTATTTTCCAATTGACTAAACAGGCACAGGTTAAATAATATTTGTGTTCTCAAAGCTCTTGAGCTTCTTTGGTCTTTTTGAACATCTTCCATATATAACACTAATATACAAGCTTTATTTACTTTTTAATTTTAGGGATGAAAAATAAGAGATGGTGAGAACTTAAATTTGAGAGGATTGATTTGTTTCAGCCACTGTGTGGTCACTGATTATCTGAACTCCTTATGAGAGATCATTGGATATGTTAATCATTTAATGCATATCCTTACATCTTGTCCCTTGAATTATGGACATAGTGAAGTTTATTGTTTCTTAGTTGACTACTCTTATAAACAAAGTAATTTATACTATTCATCATTTGCTAATGGGTTTAACACAAGTCTTTAAAGCATTGTTAATCTATTTAGTAAGTCTTACTTTGCCATATTTAAATCCTAGATTTTAACTTACTATTTTATATCTAAGTAACTTGTGCAGTTTTAATAGAACAGTAATAAAATGATAGGAGGTGGGAGGGAAAAGCAATTTCTCTATAAAATGATACTGACTTAAGTGCATTTTTGGAGACATTCTAATACTTGGGCCTAGATAGTTCATATTTTGCAAGCTCACTCACCCATTTCTAGAGAATGTGTTTGTTGCAAAATAATCCACAGTGGGGCAGCAGGGAGTTAGATACATGACAGGATCCTCTGATAGGCAAAACGTGTTATAGATGCTGCAAAAAAACATATTTGAGAGAATCTGGACATTATTTATATGTTTTATACTCAAGAAGTTGTGGGGGCTAGAGATGTGGCTTAGTGGCATAGTGCTTACCTAGCATGCACAAGGCCCAGGGTCCATCCCCAGCACTGCAAAAATAAATAAATAAAATTAAAAACCTAAATAAATAGAATAAATTAAATAAACAGGCCTCTGAGGAGGGCTACTCGAGAGTATCCAAAACTCTTTTGCTTTTATATTTTTGAATTGCCTGTTATTTCAGTTGTTATTCAATGACCTATTTTTGACTTTCAGGGATAGGCGCAGGAGGAGAAGCAGGAGTTCTTCCAAGTCACCAAGAGCGTCAAAAACCATAAAAAGGAAATCTTCCAGGTCTCCATCCCCTAGGAGGTTAGTTTTAAGAGGCATAACCTAAAACTAAAGAAGAGGATGCAGGAAATAAAAATATTTTCAAAATTATCTTTTCAATCTTTAAAAAATTTTGTATTTTGAATCATAACCTTTGTATCCTTTAGAAATTGATCTAAAAAGTTATATGTTGTCTTTCACCCATGTATTTATCCACTCTAGCCCCTTAAATAATGACATTACTAGTTTTTCTGTATATTCCAGTTTTGTATATAGACATAAGACGAGAATATATCTTGTTTTTTCATATAAGAAGCACAAAATATATGCAGTTGTACACTTTTGTTGCTTAATTACCAGGAAATCTTTCCATATTGTTGTGAGACAGTGTCTACATTCTGTATATAAATGCATGGACTTTGTCTGGAAGTACCTTGGTTTATTTAACTTGCCTGTGGTATACTGGGCTTTCTTAGTTTTCCTATTGTGTGTGTGTGTGTGTGTGTGTGTGTGTATATATATATATTATTTATTTATTTATTTATTTGGTACCGGGGATTGAACTCAGGACCTTTCGCTTGCAAGGCAGGCACTGGAACCACTGAGCTAAATCCCTGGCTTTCCTATTGTAAATTACATAATTCTGTAATGAATAGCTTTGGACTTAACATTGCTTTGTAGTATACATATGTGTAGAAAATTTTCCAGAAATGGTATTGTTAAGTTAGAAGGTGTGTTTGTAATAGCTACAACAGATTGTTATCACAGTTACAGGTTTTTGATCATTTGGTAGGTAAGAAGTGGCATCATTGTCAGTATAATTTTAGTTGCATTTCTCTTATTATATGTGAAGGTAACCATCTCCATATATTTCAAGGCCTATTATATTCCCTTTTCTGTGATTTTATACTTTCTTACTTTTCTGTGAGGCCTTGTTTTTTTTCCTTTTTCTGTTTTCTACAGCTCTTCTTTTTTTTTTTTTTTTTGATTGAACTCAAGGCCTTCACATTGAGCTACACTCCCAGCTCCTTTTATTTATTTTTAAAAAGTTTTAGTTTTTGTTTTTTTGAGCTCACTGTGTAGCCCAGGTTGGCCTCAAATTCATGACAATCCTTCTATCTGAGCCTCCCAAGAGCTGGGATTATAGGTATGTGCCACCACACCTGGCTGCTCTTTTTATTTTGAGACAAGGTCTTGCTGAATTACCCAGGCTGGCCTCCAGTTTGAGATCCTGCTGCATTAGCCTCCCATAGAGCTGGGATCACAGGTTTGTACCACCGTACCTGGCTTTTACAGCTCTTTTTGTATTAGGGAGATTATTCTTTATTGATTTGATTATAGATATTCACAGTTTGTTATTTCTTTTTGGAAATTTATGAAACTGCTGCAAAATGACTAGAGTATCTTTAAAAAGCTAACTGGGCTAAGGAATGGAGTAGGAGGGGTTATATGACCTATTTTTGTTTTTTTGTCAAATCAGCTTAGTAGGATGCTTTTTTTAAATGCATTATTTTAGATAGCCAGTGTTATAAGGATATTTTATTAAGAACATAGTATTTAATTTCTTAGAAATTAACTGGCATATATCAATATTCTTACAGCAGAAATAAGAAGGATAAAAAGAGAGAAAAAGAAAGGGACCATGTTAGTGAAAAAAGAGAAAGAGAGCGTTCCACCTCTACAAGAAAGAGTTCTAATGATAGAGATGGAAAGGAGAAGCTGGAGAAGAACAGTACTTCAGTTAAAGTAAGCATCAGTGCCTGGTTACTGAATAATTGAGATTGTTCTTTGTCACGTAGAAGCAGTTTTTTGACTGACTGACTTGACTGATTGATTGATTGATTAATTGTAGTACTAGGGATTGAACCCAGCCCTTCCTTGTTTTGGTAAGTCGCCAGATTGTCAGGGCTGGGCTCAAACTTGTGATCTTCCCGCCTCAGAGTGCTGGGGATTACAGGTGTGTAACACCATGTCCCCACATAAAAGCAGTTTTTGTTGGTTTTTTTTTTGGTACTGGGGATCGAACTCCAGTCCTTGTGCTTGCACAGCAGGTGGTGAAACCGCTGAGCTAAATCCCTGGCCCAGCAGTTTTAAACTGAAAGCTTAATGAGGGCAAGAGTATCTTGTACATTGTTGATATTTTAAAAATTTTGTCAAGTTTTAAAAATTAAGTTTTGAAGAGATGAGAGCCAATTAAAATTTTAACTGTCATGTTCATCTTAAGAGAATCAGAAATTAGCATACTAATAAATTCTTTTGAAAATCTACAGATAATGAATGTTCTTGATATAAATATATATAAAAATGCTTTTTGTCTCTTTCCATTTTCCTCAATATATGTCTCATTAACTTTAATAAGACTGTATTGTTACTGGCTTTGTAATACGTAGTTAAACTTAGGTTTGTTAAATATTGTTATGTTGCAGAAAAATAAATTCTACCAAGTGTGCTTTCTCTTAGATAATTTAGGAACTTGTAAGTTAGTTCCCTTACTATCCTGCTGAAGTTTATTTATATTTGGAAATTAGGTGTTCTAGAACTTGTATTGATTGAATAGAAGTTCATCATCGATGACATGGGTAATGTTTATTGAATGTGTTCTGTGTGCCAGACACTCCTTGTTCTCATTTAATTCTCCTTTAAGCTGAGGACAGAATTTAGATTTACTTTTTTAATACTGGGAGTTGACACTAAGGCCTCTTTCTTTCTAGCCAGGCACTCTACCACAAAGCTACATCCACTGCTCCTTTTCTAATTTTTAATTTTGAGACAGGGTATTGTCTTTCTGAGTTTCCCAGGATAGCCTCAAACTTGTGGTTCTCCTGCCTTATCCCCTCACGTAGCTAGGATTACAAATATGCATCACTGCGCCTAACTGGACTATTCTTGAACAGTCTTTTTAAAGAGAAATTGTATTAGTCAGCTTTTCAATTTCTCGACACAGTATCCAACACCCACAACTTCTATTTGCTCATGGTTTCAGCCCAGGGTCAGCTGGCTCCAAGGTTGTGGTGGAGCAAAGCTGCTCAGTTTTTCCTTTTTTTTTTTTTTTTTTGTACCGGGGATCAAACTCGGGTCCTTACACTTGTGAGTCAGGCAGCAGAACCACTAAGCTAAAATAAATCCCCAGCCCTAAAGCTGCTCAGTTGATGGCAAAGCAGAGCAGGGGAAGAGCGCCAGAGAGGAAGGGACAAGAGGCCAGGTACAGACCCCAAGGGCGGGCCTCCATGACCTACCCAGACATACCCCAAAACCAGTCAAGTTGAACGACCACCCTAATGACCACAGGAATAGTGACTTTCTTTTCTGTGTTCCCTTGTTTTTGTTTCTCATGGCATTTTTGAAGCTCTTTGACTCTTTCCGTAGATCTATTCCCCCTTTTCAAGTCTGTTGGCAGTATTTATTTTATACTTCCTTAGGACTTCTGTTCACTGATGTTCAGCGTCCATGGATTTTCCATATTTTATGCCAAGAATAAAGGATATGTAATAGAAGAAAATTACCCAGTTTCATTAATTCACAGAAGATGTAGTTATATCATTTAGCCATAATAAACAGTTCTTGAGGAAAACAGTAAACGTGTACCTTAATATTCATTGTAGGAGAAGGAGCACAATAAAGAACCAGATTCAAGTGTGGGCAAAGAAGTAGATGATAAGGATACACCAAGGACTGAAGAAAATAAAGTACAGCAAAATGGAAATTGTCAGCCAAATGAAGAAAACCTCTCTACCAAAACAGAAGCAGTATAGGACCAACCAATGCAACTCTACACTCAATGCTGGAATAAAATCCAAAGCTTTTAATTCTCTCTACCACAAGATGTAAACAGGGAAGAAATCTAGTTGAGCATAAAGATAGGTGCACCAGTTGTCAGGTGATGTTGTGGACATCTTGTTACTGAGTAAGGAGATAAAGCACGGACATTGTGAGAATACCACGGATTATCCAAACTCTTCATCTTCTAAAATCTGTGCATTTCCATGGTGGCTGACACACTTGTCATGTGGTTTGTTAGTGTTTGCCAAGAACCATTGCAAATAAATTGAATATCAGTCATCCAAATTTGTACTATCCCTAAAGACTGGAGATAAGCATTGGTGACTCTTTGAAAAAAATGCTAGTTACTTAATTTTGTATTGTTTTACTTTTTTAAAAGAAAAATTTCAGTATATACAATTTGATGATGTGCTTGAAATTGGTGCAAATATATACACACAATTGTAAATGCAAAGTATGTAAGAAGTTTTAACATTTCACAGGATTTACAGTGATTGTGTTAAATTCTCACTTGTGTTTTCTTTTGCTTGCTGTTTAGGGCAGCAGTTTTTCTTTAAAATAGTTTTACAGATTAAAATTGCTTAAATAAGTGGATTAAAAAACAACTGACAATGCATGCTACTATTCTCTTTTGAAAGGAAGAGCAATTATATTGAATACTAATAGTAATGTGTTAGTATTCAGTGTTTAAAATCATTCAGTCTTCCCACAAAGTAAGCTTTTTTTTTTTAAACTCTTGATATTTCCAACTTTAATATGAATATTGCAGTGTGTTTTGTCAGCTGTAGGTGGCAAAGATGCCCTTATAAAAAAGAAACTGGGTTTCAAAATGGGCAATGGGAGCACAAGCTGAAGCTTTAGTGCCTTCTACAATGTGGTATACTGTTTTCTAGAATTTTATATGTACTAGTCATTCTCAATTCATATGGAATCTAGATGGATATTCTATTCAGACCCATAGAGAAGTGTGTAAGTGGTATGTCAGAAGAGCTTCTTACTTAGTTCATCAAGTATGAAAGGGAAGTCCTGTTTTCAAGACTGACTTTAGAGTTTAAAACAATGCAGTTTTGGGACCATCAGTTTTATACTGTGATAATTGAAAATAAACGTTCTTTTTTCCTCAAATCAAAGGAAACCTTTTAGTTGACTACATTGGATGGCCTTAATTATTGCCTTTCAATCAATTTCTCATAAATATTGTATAGAAATCATGGTTTAAGGGAGGACTAAGAGTATAGCAGAGGTGGTTTATGTTTAAGCATATGTTTACTTGACTTTAAGATATAGGTCATCCATCATCATCAAGCTTACATTTCGCAGAATGTATGCGAGGAGTAAAATGACAGCATTGCTAGTGTTTTCCTGGAGAACTGTGAATTTCTGAGCTTTTTCATTATTTCCAAAAAAGTAATACTTTTAATTAGCATATTATTAAAAATCAAGTATAATTATTTTAATGCAATCTAATACAATCAAATTCTCAGTTGCCTTACCTCATGGGAAGAGTTACTTTTGTAGATTTTTAAAAGCTGAGTAGCACATTAGTTACTTGGTTTCAACTTGAGTTTTCTTTTAATGTTAATACAGTTGAAACTTAAGTATTTGGTGGAGAATGGGAAAAGTTGTCCCTTTTGCAAGTAATGAAGCCTAGTTTGATAATGAAGCTGCTTAATCATCTTCATGTGTTCAGAATTACCGTGTTTGGTTATTTCCCTTTTTGTCACTGTGTACATTAAAAGTTTCCAAAATGCTTTACTATGTAAAGTATAGATGGTCATTTTAATCATTCAGCCACATATGGTTGGCTGGTAAACAGCTTATTCTGATACAGGAATGCTTGGGTGCACATGAAAGATTGTGAGGGAGTGTGTGTCTTGCATCAACAGCTGTTTTATTTATGATATGTAAGTAGAATAGAGCAAATGTTTGAATCTTTGTTATTTTTAGTACCATTTCTCTAATAAAGCTAAGTATTTTAGAGGAAAGTATTTGTTTATGCATTTCAAAAAAGCATCTTAGTTTTCACTCTTGTTTTAGTTGGCACAGAGACTGTTTTGGCATGGGGAGTGTGTGTTTGTGTGGTGTCTGTAAAACAATCATTAAAAGTTTGTTGTAGTCTGGACACTGAAAATTTTCAGTGTTAGAAATTATTTGATTCCTGCTGCTGATATTTTTCTTCCTGATCATACTTTGTAAGTTTTAAAATAATCATACTAATCTTGGAAAGCTGATTTATAAAACCTTAAGAATAAATAAAAATACAAGAGATCTGGAGAAAGTGAAATTAGATTACTATGAGAGATTTGACATTTTCCTACAGGGAAGCAAGGCTTTGTTTGAGAGGTCCATAGAGGGATGCTTGAGAGAGACAGAGAGAAGAAAAGGGGGAAGGTGTGGTGGTGGAGAGGGAACAGTTTTTGTTTGTTTACTTAGAGTTACTATGTTTCTGTTTATTATTATCTTTCAAGGTATTTTGTTTTTTTCATTCAAGATTCTTCTTTTTTCATCCCAGGTAGATGTTATCAGGAAAACTTGAGGTAAAGCCAAGAAGACAGCCCTTAGACACGTGATACACTCTGTGATTGTCTTTTTTGGTTTGATTGTACAGAGATTATATGCTACTCCTTAAACTAGTTGCTATTCATCATTTTAAACAAACTGTATTCTTAAATGCTTTCCAGTAATGTACACTGAACTAGAATCATAAGATGGTCCTTCATAAGCCAGCCAATCAGTTCCATGTGTGAAAACATAAGATTCTTAATTTCTACAATTATCTCTTTAGTTATTATTTTGTCTAATTAGCTTATTAGTAAAAACACAAGTCAGATTGTGACCTTCCCTGTGTTTAGAATTTTGTTCAGTATTTGGCTATGTTTATCGTCATAAATGTCAGAGGCTTAAATTTTGACATGCTCAATTAAAAATAAAAACACATATTCATAACCAGGGTTTTTTTTGGTCAAAAAAATAATTTTTTGGTGATATTAATAATTTTCAGAGCCCTCAATCTTCCTATGTATATATTGCTACCCTTATGTTAAAATTTAAAAAATCTGATCCAAACCTTCCTTGAAATGAAGATACTTGAATTTAAGGATTACAAATTATTGTAGTAGTTTTTGTTTTCAGTCTACACTATTAAAAGTATAACATATACTTATTTAATCATCTTTAGTTGTGGAATTAGCAATTACATGAATCGTTTTAGAAGGATGCATTAAATAACATTTCGGTGAGTCATTTCTTATTTTCATTTTATTTATTTATTTATTTATTTATTTATTTTTGTATCAGGGATTGAACTCAGGACCTTGCGCTTGCGAGGCAGGGAATGGAACCACTGAGCTAAATCCCTGGATTTAGCCTCCTGCTTCTTATTTTTATTTTAAAGGACAGTAATTCATTATAATTAATTGTGTGGAGTTAATCCATTCTTAAAAAGGTAATATACAGTAACCATGTCTTCTTGTGTGTTTAAATATTTTTTATTTCCTCTACATTTATATTTAGTATTTTCTTATGTTTATTGCCTAATGTAATCACTGAAATTATTTTCAGATTTTTCAAGTTTTTTGAAAAGTTTTCTTTTTAAAAGGGCTAAATTCTGTTTCTGGAAGGAGTATAGTATAAATGTAATGTAAGTAATCTTTTAAAATAAAACTGCCTTCCCTATTTTATCTTGGGCTTATGAGTGAGTCTTTCGGAGGATATTTTTATTTATAAAGGTGATTTTGCCTGAAGAATGATAATTATTTTAAAAATAAAAACTAATGTGTTTTTGGTTTTTCAGTCCATAGGCTAGATTTAGTAATCAATAGATCTCTTCCATTTCAATCTAAGGTACCTTTATCATTTCTGACAATTTATTATAATTATTAATTTATATCTTATATCTTTCCCTTTTGGGGGATGATGGTGGTGCTGGAGATCAAACCCAAGACCTCATGCACACTAGCCAAGCACTATGCTACTGAGCTATCCTCAACCCCTAATACAGTGTTCCTTACAAAAATACTTTCAAAAGGTTTTAATTTATTGCCTGATTTAAAAAATATGTAGCTAATGTTTTAATTTGGAAAATTACCATTTTGGAGGAGAGTTCACATATTTTACCTCTATAGATTTTATTTTTATAAGATTGGAATGAAGTAGTAGTTAATCTCTTCTCTCTTTTTTTCCCCCTCTTTTCAGACAGGGTATGAAGCTCAGACTGGCTATATATCTCAGACTGGCCCACTCACTATGCAGTCCAGGCTGACCTGGAACTCAAGGCGATCTTCCTGCCTTTGCCTCTGAGTACCTGGGATTACAGGTGTGCAGTGTATGCCACCATACTTGGGTTTGAAATTCATAAAAATTATACTGAAAAAAATCAGAAGAGATTAATTTCTATCAGTTTAAGGGTACTTTTTGGTAACACGTTGTGGGGAATAACCTAGAGAACTCCTGATTTTCACTGAACATTAAATTTGAAAATAATATATAGCTGTCTAGATCAATTTAATAGTTCAGTAATTATCTCCTTATCTTGATTAATAGAGTGGTGTTGTAGATTATCAAAGGAAGAGTTTAAATGTAAACAAATATGCTGCATAGGTATTATATTTTTATATAAGTAGGACTTTTTTTTTGTTACTGGGGATTGAACTTGTGTCCTTGTGGTTGCGCAGCAGGCGGCAAAACCACTGAGCTATATCCCTGGTCCTGTAAGTAGGACTTTTAAATGGTAGTAAAAGTATCAAATGCTGCTATTCTGTTGCTGTATTTTAATAAAATGAAAATAATAAGTCTTGCCACTGTTGAGTAGTAATTTCACTTGTTTTGGTGGTATTTGCATATTCATAGATATGAAGTTTTTGTATTAGCTTTTTGTTTTTTTGAGACAGGGCCTTGCTATGTAGCCCAGGCTGGACTTGGATTCACATTCCTCTTGTCTTAGATCTGTGCCACAGCTCACAGCTTGTGACAGTGGGGTATTGAGGTCTCCCACTACAATTGTATTAGTGTATATATGACTTTTCATGTCTGTTAGTAATTGTTTTATATAGTTGGGCACACTAGTGTTTGGTGCGTAGATATTTATGATTGTCATCTCTTCCTGTTGGATTGTTCCCTTTACAAGAATGTAGTGTCCTTCCTTGTCTCTCTTAATCAGTGTTGTTTTGAAATCCACTTGATCTGCAAAGAGGATAGCTACTCCTGCTTTTTTTTGGGTTCCCATCACATGGATTATTGTTTTCCACCCTTTAACTTTCAGTCTATGAGTTTCACTTTGAATTAGGTGTGTTTCTTGTAGGTGTGCAACATATTGTTGGATTTTGCTTCTTGACCCATTCTGCCAGTCTATTTTGATTGGTGAATTGAGACCATTAACATTGATGGTTGTAACTGATATGTATTGACTTACCATTGTCATGACTTTTTCTTTTTGTTGGATTCTCCCCCTTTACATTTAACTTCTTGTCGTGTCCGATGGATTCATTCTGCTGTGCTTCCTGGGGTTGTGATCCTCATTGTTTTTTCCTAGGATATTGTCTAAAATTTTTTGGAGTGCTGGTTTGGTATTCATGAAGTTCCTGAGGTGCTCTTTGTCATGAAAGTATCTTATTTCTCCATCAATTTTGAAAGATAGTTTTGCAGGGTACATCAATCTGGGTTGGAGGCTGTTTTCCTTTAGGGCTTGGAATACGTCACTCCAAGCTCTTCTTGCCTTGATGGTTTGTGTTGTGAAGTCTGCTGTGGTTCTGATGGGCTTTATGTGATTTGTTTCTTTTCTCTCACTGCTTGTAGAATTTTGTTCTTCCGTTGGGTTTCTGGAATTTTAACTATTATATGCCTATGTATAGATTTTTTTTTTTTTTTGATCAAGGCTAGTTGGAGTCCTGTATACCTCACTTATCCGTATGTCAAGTTCTTTTCCTCTGCTTAGGAAGTTTGCCATTACTTCTGTGAATAGTTTTTTTTATGTCATCTGCACTCTCCTGTTTCTTCGTTGACTCCAGTCAGTCTTGTTATTCTTCTTTGCATCATCTAGCAGCTGCTGGATTGATTTCCCGTGGTCCCTTACAATTTTGAAGCAATTTTTCCTGGTCACTAATTGCAATCTTATCTTCTATATCTGAAATTCTGTCCTCACATTGGCTCATTCTGCTGTGTAGACTTTCAGTGGAGTTTTTGATCTCCTGGAAATCTATTTGCATCTGTTTTATGGATTCCATTTGTTTCCTATGTTGGGATTCCATCATGTTCCTCAGCTCCTCTATTTTTTTTAGTCTGTGTCCTCTCTAGATTTATTAATCATGTCTTGCACTATGGGCACAATCTCTGCTGTTATCTGAGAAATTATTTCTGATTTCATTTTTTCCAGATCCTCTTTTGTTGTGAATTCAGAAAGTCCAGGTGCTTGAGTATCAGATTGTTCCATCTCGTTTCCCTTTGGGGTTGCTTTAGGTGATCTGGAAGTCCTGGTTTTGAGACTTATTTACGTGTCTTCTCATTTGGATGGGGGAGGGGGCTGCTGTTGGTGCCCTCACAACTCACCTCCTTTGCCCTGAGAGCGGTGGAACGGCAGCCCGGAAGCCCCTACCTCTGGGCTGGGAGCAGTGAAATGCACAGCTTGTATTATAATTGAAAGGTGCTAATAGGTTCTTCCAGTGTTCAAAATTATTATCAAAATAGAGGTTTTTATATACTGAGCAGTCTTCATGTTGTGTATCAGCAACTCTGGTCAAGACTTTCATATTAAACGTTTTGTATTCTAGTAAATGATAGTTGCTTTTTTTTTTTCTTTTTGGTACTGGGGATCTAACTCAAGACCTCAAGCTTGCCATGCAGGTGCTGTGCAGCTAAGCTAAATCCTCAATGATAGCTGCTTTCTGAATTTCTCTTTTGTTCATAGAAAACAGTTTTTCCTGCGATATTTACACAGTGAAAATTGTCACCATGTCTTTTTATTTTTTTAATTTTATTTTTCCATTGAAAG